TTCCCTTTTCCTCCCCACGATGTTTTCCCCCCTCTCCCTGTTGAGATCCTTTCCCTCCTTTCCCCCCTAAGGCCTTTTTTCCCCCTGCGATCTTCCCCCTTTTCCTTCCTAAGATCCTTTCCCCCCTTTCCTTGTTGAGATCCTTTCCCGCCCTTTCCCCCCTAAGGCGTTTTCCCCCCCAAGATCTTCTCCCTTTTCCTCCCTAAGATCCTTTGCCCCCTTTCCCTGTTGAGATCCTTTCCCCCCTTTCCCCCCTAAGGCCTTCCCCCCCTGAGATCTTCTCCCTTGTCCTCCCCAAGATCTTTTCCCCCGAGATCTTCTCCCTTTTCCTCCCTAGGATCTTCTCCCACCTTTCCCTGTTGAGCTCCTTTCCCCCTTTTCCCCCTAAGGCCTTTTCAGATCTTCTCCCTTTTCCTCCCTAAGATCCTTTGCCCCCTGTCCCTGTTGAGATCCTTTCCCCCTTTCCCCCCTAAGGCCTTTTCCCTGCCTGGGACCTTCTCCCTTTTTCACTGAGATCTGTCCCCCCCTTTCCCTGTTGAGATCCTTTCCCCTCTTTCCCCCCTACGGCCTTTCCCCCCGCTGAGATCTTCTTCCTATTCCTCCTTAAGATCCTTGGCCCCCTTTCCCTGTTGAGATCCTTTCCCCCCTTCCCTTTTTTAAGGCCTTTCCAGATCTTCTCCCTTTCCTTCCTAAGATTGTTTCCCCCCTTTCCCTGTTGAGATCCTTCCCACCCTTTCCCCCCTCAGGCCTTTCCCCCCCCTGAGAGCTTCTCCCTTTTCCTTCCTTAGGTCTTTCCCCCCTTTCCCTGTTGGCCTTTTTTCTCCCAGATCTTCTCCCTTTCCGCCCTAAGATCTTTTCCACCCCTTTCCCTGTTGAGATCATTTCTCCCCTTTCCCCCCTAAGGCCTTTGTCCCCAGATCTTCTCCCTTTCCTCCCTAAGATCTTCCCCCCCCCCCCCGCTGAGATCCTTTTCCCCCTTTCCCCCCTAAGGCCTTTCCCCCCCCTGAGAGCTTCTCCCTTTTCCTTCCTAAATCTTTTCCCCCCTTTCCCTGTTGGGCTTTCCCCCCTAAGTCCTTTTCTCCCAGATCTTCTCCCTGAAAGGGAGACGATCTGGGAGATCTTAGGGAGGCAAAGGGAGAAGATCTCAGGGGGGAAAAGGCCTTAGGGGGGAAAGGGGGGAAAGGATCTCAACAGGGAGAGGGGTGAAAACATCTTAGGGAGGAAAAGGGAAAAAAACAGAGGGAGAAAAGGCCTTCGGGCGGAAAGGGGGAATGGATCTCAACAAAGAAAGGGGGGCAAAAATCTCAGAGGGGAAGGGGGCAAGGGGACAATTCCAAAGGGACGCAAATAAGAAAGCAGGCCTGTAATGTCGGCGGCCTGAGCCGGAGGCACTAAAATAGTATATATGTTTCCTAGATATGAAGATGCGAGGCTATGCGGAGAATCGCAGACCATATGGGAACTTGTATTGAGTATCCTTTCCTATAAGAAGTCGTTCTTTTCGGATATCCCCATCAAATTTGTTTCCAAATGCATTATTATATCCTTTTGTTTTTTTCAAATGGTCAAGCTTCAAAACCGAAAATACCCAGGACCTCCAAAGCAATCCGAAACAGTTTGGAAACATGTCTAAAACAGCCCCGAAATTTCCCAAGCCACCATAGAGCCTATTTAAACAAACTATCCGATTATTATTACTACTATTACGATCACTACTACTACTACTACTACTACTACTACTACTACTACTACTACTACTACTACTACTACTACTACCATTATTACTACTACTACCACCACCACCACAACTCAACTACTACTACTACTAGTAATACTACTACTACTATTATTATTACTATTTCTATTAATATTATTACTATTACCAATTTACTACTACTAATACTACTTATTACTACTACTACTACAACTATTCTTACTACCACCACCATTACTATTATTACTTCTACTACTACTACTACTACTATTACTACTACTACTACTACTACTACTACTACTACTACTACTACTACTACTACTACTACTACTACTACTACTACTATTACTATTACTATTACTATTATTATTAGTAGTATTATTATTATTTCTATAATTATTATTATTATTCATATTATTATCATTATTATTATTATCATTATTATTAATATTATTATAACTATAATTATTTGTTTAATATTATTAATAAATTTATTAATATTTAATTTGCCAAAATAAATATAATCTATAATTTTATAAAAATGTAAATATATATTTTCTAGATTTCGAATAATTGTTTCCAAATTTTCTCCCAATATCCAATATCAATTTTCTCAATATCTTTCCATAATTTATATCCATGTCCATTGTAAATTTAAATAATTATACCTTTATTGTCATTTTAAATTCTAAAAATATTATTTAATTTTTCCGGTATCCTAAAATATAATCGGCAATTCAACCCAAATCTTCAAATCGAGATGCTCGAGGACACCAACGACAAAGCAGAATCGGGAGATAGAATCTCGCCCATCCACAACCCAGTATCATTTTATTTGTTTATACTAAATTGAATATTTCAATAATAAATTAATCATATTATATTTAAAAAAAAAATATGTTATTTCCTTCAATGGCCCACAATAAGGCCAGGCAGCAAAACCAAGCAGCAAAGCAAGGCAAGCTAAGCAAAGCAAATAACGCAAGCAAAACAGGCAAGATAAGTAGACAGGCAAATAAACAAACAATCAAAGAAGCAAGTAAGAAAACAAAGTAATCAAAATAATACGAAGCAAACGAGTAAGTAGAAATAAACAGACAAACAAGCAGAAGCAAGCAAGTAAGCAGAAGCAGACAGGCAAGTAGGCAGAGGTAAATAAAAGCTAATAAGTAAAAGAAAGAAAAAACAACCAAATTAAAGTAGACAAGTAAAAGTAAACAGAAATAAATAAATAGAGGTAAGTAGAAGCAAGCAGGCAGACCGAAGCAAATAGAAGTAAGCAAATAAAGACCGATAGACAGAGATAAATAGAGATAGATAGATACAAGTAAGTAAGTGATGGCATGCAAGCAGAAGTAAGTAAGCAGAGGCAGGCAAAAATAAGTAGGGGGAGGTAGGCAGAGGCAAGCAAAAGCAAGCAGAGGCAGGTAGAGGCAGGCAAAGGCAAGCAGAGGCAAGCAGAGGCAGACAAAGGCAAGCAGAAGCAGGCAGAGGTAGGTAGAGGCAGGCAGAGGCAAATAAAGACAGGTAGAGGTAAAAAAAAGGCAGAAATAGGCAAAAGCAGGCAAACAAAAGTAGGCAAACCGAGGAAGCAAGTAGAAGAGACAGAAAGAAGCAAAAGCAAGTAAACACAAATAAAAGCAAGTAGAGGTAAGTAAAAGTAAGTAAAATAGAAGTAAATAAAAAATAAGTTGAAATAAGCAGAAGTAAATAAAAATAAATCAAAATAAATCAAAATAAATCAAAATAAAATAAAATAGAAATAAATAAATAAATATAGTTAAAAAAACAAACAATTAATAACAAACAAATAAACCCAATCATAATAAATAGCCAACAAAAACAATAAAAAATAAATAATAATAAATAAATAATAACAAACAATCAACAAACAAATAACAACACATAAACAACAACAAAAAAACATCTACAAATATATAAATTATATTATAACTTGTACCAATCTATATCAATTTATATATAATCGTAAATAATTTCCTAATTCCCATTAACCCGCTATAATTCATACTCAGCCACAGCAATCCTAGCAAAACCGTGCCAATCCAACTCGCATAAACCCACGCTAATTCAAATTGATCTTCACCGAATCATACGCTTTCATAATACCTCGCCACTACGCGTAAACCCGCGCTAACCCATATTATTTCTTTGAAATTCGCACAACTCCGTATTCATCATCGTTCCACATTCATTCTCGTTGCATTAAGCCACACCAACCACTCTAACCTGCGCCAGTCTACATTAACCCGCGTTAAGCCGCTCGAGCTACTAGTACGCGCCTATCCGCTCCACTCCACATGCAGCCGTGCTGTTCCGCGCAAAGCCGAGCTAACCCGCATTAAGCCGCGCTCATCCGCGCTAAGCTACGCTACTGGGCACTCCGCAGCAACCCGCGCGGATCAAAAACGGGTCGAGAACGACAACGTGCAACGAGGTCTCTTGGGTACCGAATTAGTTCGTCATGTGCCCGACTAAATCGCACCGAGCCCATCTGGAGCCGCGCTATTCCGCTCGCACCCGCATGGATCCACTGAATCGCACTGATCCGCATAAATCCGCACTAACCTGTATTAACAAGCATGAACAAGCATGAACAAGCATTAATCAAATGCGAATCGAAAACGACAAAATCCAACGGCTTTGATGCAAAGGGCTCGATGCCCGGAAGCCACGTAGAGATGGAAGTAGATAAAAGGACGATATCTACCGGACAAATCCCAAAAATATCCGAAAAAGTTTCGGCATGGACGAAATGTGCAAAAGCTTCGAGATTCTTAAATTTCTGCCCGGCAGAACAAACAAACATTTGAACATTTTATCGCGTTCGTCCAGCCACCCAAATATCCGGACAAAAGAAACACATTCTCGAAAAATTCCCTACCCTCGTCCAGGCCACTTCATATTACCATGTTCTGCAAAATCTTTGCAGCGTGGCGAAAGATACAAACATAACGAAACATCCCAATCTCCAAAAGTGCGAGTACAAATTATAAAAGCGCATCTTCACCGTTCCATGTCAGAAATATAATAATAATAATAATAATAATAATAATAATAATAATAATAATAATAATAATAATAATAAATAAATAAATAAATAAATAAATAAATGAATAAATAAATAACTAAATAAATAAATAAATAAATAAATAATAATAATGAATATGTGTCCATAGTGGATATCTAACGTGATTTTCCAGATGGCCCAAAAACGGTTTCAGGCGATGGACTTGTCAAGCTAGTCTTCCCTCCCAGGTCGCGTTGGCTAGAACGATCTCGAAATGGGACAGCCTGCCAGACGCATTAAGATCACTTCAGGCACCAAGAAAGCAAACGGCTCAGGACAGCCCAGTCTCCCAAGCCCGGTGGAAGGAGCCTCCAGTCTGCTTCGCGGTGCGCAGCAGCTCCCGACTCACCTTGGACATGCGACTAGTCGCGACTTCGCAACTTTGGGCGGCCACAGTGCGGTGAGGGCGCCAGTTCGTGCGGACAGGCATCCAGAAGATGTTCTCTCATCTTGGCCTCCGAACGGACTCTCGGCGATTCTCAGCTGGATGTGGGTCAAGAATTGGAACCCAACATACAAAAACTAAAACCTGCGGTCCCCTGGTGGTGTAATTTTGACTCATACCCAAATCAAGTTCTAGAAAAAGCTCTGAGCTAGGGCCCTCACCCTCCAAGCTGGCTCCAGGATCTCACGTGAATCCTGCACTGATGCGCGCTGCTCGACACATTTCAAGCATGGGCTCAAATGTTCGAAGGTGCCACATGTGTGAAGTTCTCCCGTCCTCATTCTGAGACTGGGTGGCCTCTTGTTCACCACGCGCGCAGGCGGTGAAGAGTGCAAGCAACGATATCAGGTAAGACCTGAGACACAAGAACACCAATGTGTGGGTAAAGTGGATGCGCCAAGCTCTTGAGCATCCTGTTAGGGGGGATGCTGTTTAGAATCCATCTGCAAAATGTCTGATGATTGATCGCCGCCTCTTCCCAAGATCTCGAAATCCGAAAGTGATTCTCTCAGGCTGCCACAAGGAGCCGAGAAAAAAACGACCTTGCGCCCAAGCTCACAAAATCGATCGCACATTTCAATGCGGCGGATTCGTAGCTTGAAGCATCCCCGACATTCTCCAAGAAGCATCTTGCACGGTTTACTGGGATCCTTACATTCTACACCTGAACATTGCCTCGTAAATGGCGGTGTCCCTGTATTTTGCTGGAAAAAGCCATGCTTCAAACGGGCAAAATGTATCCTTTAAGGAGCCCTGGTGTACTGGCACCTTTCGGGGAGAAAACAAAAGCGGTTGGGAGTACCAACGACTTGGGAGCCCGCGGCAGCTTGCAGCGCTGGGGCTCCTCTCAAAGACACGCAGGGTATGGCACCTCAGCCGACTCGCGAATCCGGTGAGGTCAATCTGCCTGGAAAACGGCCATCCCATGCAGTATCTGGGGGAAAAAATCCGCCGCGAGCACGTGCCCTGAAAGTTTCAAACTCTACAATCCCAAGTCCCGATTTGCCGAAGATACACTGTGACCGACCCGTACATGACAGCACGGCCATCCTTGAGGAAACTCCACACCCTGACTTGTTCGCCCCCTGGCCTGGAAAATTGGACGAAGGTGCCGTGTTTGCACAAAGATGTTCACGCTCATAGCATAAGGGCCTAATACTTCGGCCAGCGAATTTAGACATGGTTAGAGCTATCCGGATGAATCAGGCGCCCGGAGTGCCAAATTGCTTTGGTAGACCACCTTCCAAAGCAAGGGAACTACATTTCAATTGGCATTCAAGAGGATTCGCTTAAATGTCAAGTGGCTCCTTGGGCTTTCCAGGGCTTGGTTTCACAACTATACATGAGTGGCAACCGCTGTGCAGCTTTCTACCTAGGATGGACAAAGAATATGATCCTCCCCTATGGGTTGGTCTCCAAAAGAGAGACCCGCCCCGCCTCCCAGCTTCAAGCGTGCTCACCCAAGGAAAGGTCAAAATGAGTTGCTTGCTACGTATTAAAGACTTCCTTCTTCTCCCCCAAATTACTCGCCGGCCGGTTTGGGAAAGAACAAGTTGCTCAGGTTGCTACAGAAATGTCGCATTTGTTGAGTACAGATTCGAATGGTGGTATACGGTACCATAGGTGTCCTTTTTGAGAAAATAGATGGCCCTGGTAGTTGATTGAACCACCAGGTAAACCAGGGCCCTCTATTTTTCAACTAAATCAACCAAAAAGGACACCTATGTACGGTACATGTATGCACAGGCCCGGAATGCCTACTCCCAGTCGTTGGCCTTGCAATCTTCGAGGCCCCCCGCCAAACCGCGCTCGGAAGAGCCGCCCCGACCTCGGCCCAAGGCGGCCAGGGCTGCGAACTCTGCATGGCACACTCCATGAAGCGATCCTGCAAACTCAAATTCAAGACGCAAGAGACCTACCCCTGAGCCAGTGGCTTTGCCTGATCTTGACACTGTTGGCATCCAGACTTGCATCTTCATGCATCTAACTCGCTTGTTAGTTGTACATGAAATGAATTGCGAGCAATAAGTACAAAGTTCAAGAATCCATTTGCAGTTGGTAGAAATAGTCCATGCATGTCCACAATCCTCGAACAGCCGGCAGAGATGCTCGTAGCTGGAATCAACAATTAGTGGATTGAATCGGTGGTTTGCTATGCTCGGCGTTTGCCCCTTTTTGAGATTAGGGTTTGGCTTCTTCAGCATTGGTTGGGATTGGTGGGGTGCTAAATAAGGCAATTATTATGTTGTTGATCGTTGTATTAAATTGCGGCTTGTGTGTCAGCATATTTGAGGATTGGTGGGGGCAATATCCCTTCGCCTACCACCAATCGTTCTAGGTAGTTGCCTCTGTTTCGCCAATTAAGCAAAACAAAGGCAAACATAAATCATTAAACAAAGACAAGCGACTCCCTGACTGCTCACACAAATAACATGCCAGTTTTCTATTCAGTTGGGACATGTCGCCGGGTGCATTCACAGAAATTGGCAAAGTATTCACAGAAACAAGCCACTGAATTCATGTTACAACATGCCAGTTTTCAGTTGATTCATGAGACAAACTTCGGGGGAAGCTGGTGATTGCACATGTTTATCCATCTAATATAGATATATATATATATAGATATATATATATATATGTATATATATATATAATTGTGTATACATATAGTGTCTTTCATGCCTCGTTTTAAATTTGTCGGTTTTTCGTCTTTCTTTTTTCCTGGTGGGGGGGGTGGAGAAAGCTGTGCTAGCGCATGTTTAGGTCGACTTCTTTTATTCCAAGACTAGCTCCAAAACCCAGAGTAGAAACCACGAATCCAAACCAGCAACTGAGCGTAACCTCACTGTAAAACGTGACAAAACCAAACGCAGCCCAGGATTCTTGGAACCTTAGGGGGGTCTTAGGGTTCGGGTTCTTGCAAAACCTCTCGGGTGGGTGCTGTGGGCCGCCCCGGGCCGCCGGCCGGCAGCATCCACGACGCGGCGCCGCAAGCCGACATGGCCCAGGGCCTGGCGCTACCCTCCAACCTGACGTTCCTTCGGGGGTCCTGGGTTGGACGTTTGGACCATTCTCCTTTTGGTGGGGGGTGGGGTGGGGGGTGGGGTGGGGGGTGGGGTGGGGGGTGGGGTGGGGGGTGGGGTGGGGGGTGGGGTGCGGGGTGAGCAAATCAAAAAGAGAAACGCACTACATGGCTTCCCCAAACTCAAGAGCGGTACCTAAGGGACAAAAGTCTACTTGCAGTTCGCTTCCACGGTCGGCTCAAACCCAATTTATGGGGTGCCTCTCTGAGATACGACAGCCCCGCGGAGCCAAATCGATCAAATGCCGCAAAGGACCTTTCGCAGTGTGTGGTCAACGATGTCATCCAGATTGAAAAACTGACGTGAAAGCAAGGCCGACGGGGCGCCACAGCAAGATGGCAATAACAATGCCTCCTCTGCTCTAGCCCCATCACCATCGGCCGAGCGGCAAGGCACACAGCGCCGCAAGGTATGGCTTTGACATTGCAGCCGTCTCTGCACCTGAGCTTCCGCACGCCAGCCGGCCAAGGGCCCAAAACGTCGGCAGTCGCCCAACAAGACCCGAGTAAATCTCACGGGCTGTTTTGGATTCCAGGAACCACAGAGGCTGAAGGCCCCTGGCTTCAAGCACCGAGGCAGAGACCTGTCGTGTCTGTGAGGGGGAACCTGGGCGCAGCCAACGAAATCTGAAAGCGATGCCCTTCCGACTTCCGAGCCAAGCTGCATGTTGTACCCGCCCTGGATGTAGTCAGCTCGATGCAGCCTTTCGAAATCTACGGTCAAAACGAAGGGCGATGCTCCCTCTGAGAAGCAGTCCAGGCAAGCGCATAGAAGTGCGGCATCTGCCATAATGACTGAAGCCTTGGCCAAATGCAAGTCCCAACTTTCATGAGAAAAAACATTGTTTTTGAACAAACAAAAAAAGCCAAGGCTCGCGAATATCCACATGGCATTGGGCAGCCACGGCGAGACCTCAATGACAACTCGCACAAGGCTGCTCCGCACCGTGCCATCTCAGGCACACTTTCGTAACAGCATCCGCTTTCCTTCCGCACAAGGCGCGTTTCAGGATCGCATGAATAGATTTGCCTCCTGTTCTCTCTTGGTGAGCGAGCGACAGGGCACTGAGAAGCCAACCGCCAGACCAGTGCCCAAAGCTGCCGTGAAGCCCATGAGGGTCGGCAGGGACCTGCCAAAAACTCGAAAAGCCAGGCTCGAGACTCACCATCGTTTACTGAGGAAATGATCATGGGGCATCCCAAATCACTTGAAGCTTAGTGTCAGCTGAGGGTGAACGTTGCGTGGCTCTGCTCAGGGGAAGGTCGAAGCTCGACTGTTTGCACGCGCAGAAATGATCATTGCCTCACTCACGTGCCACAAACGAGTCTTTTCTAGAAAGTCTAAAGAATCTAGCAAGAGTGAGCCCCCGCACCCGGCATCCGGGAGAAAGGAGCAACAACCCGCCAAAACGAGTGTCTTGGCTCAGTCACGGGCCCGCTGATGGCTCCAATGTGGGTGTTGTAGGGACTGCGAACCTGATCCAAGCACGAGTTGTCTTCCGAAGCGAGTCAGGTCGGGGCATTACACAGGGAAAGCAATTCGCTGATACACCACGAGGGGGAGGTTGCCCGAACGCCAAGGGGCGAGCCGTGACCAAGCGTGCCTATCAGTTGAGCCGCATGCTGCTGCGCCCGCCTTCATTGGCGTGTAGATCGCAGCATAAGTGACCTTAAGTCTCAGAAAGCAGCTTGGCTTCGTGCGAAGGGCAAGATTGCACCCCTTAGTCTCACAAAGATGCCTCCACTTGGGCGCGTTGGCTGTACGCCCCATGGTCAATACTCCTCTTCTCCATTTCGGAGGTCTGGTCAGGTTTCCAAGTCTGAGGTCAGGCGCGTCAGGATTCGCTTAGCTCTCGTGGTCCAAAAACGAAAAGTTCAACTGGAGCTCTTATGGTCTTAAAACCTCAGGGTTCACCATGGCACATCTGTGGAGACCAACCCCCCCCCCCCCCCGAGATGGCACCACGCCCAATGGGGCGCTCCGGCCATGGTGGTCGCTGCCACCGCGGCTGTGGCAGGAGTGGTGCCCACCTCGCTGGATTGGAAGCGGTGCCAAAGGCAGAAGACTCCTCCGCGTTTTGGGGTTCCGTGTGGCCATGGATCAAAATCCAAATCGTAGAACATCCCAATCCAGCCACTCAAATAGACTATATAAAATGGGGGGGGGGGGGGAAATCACCGACCCCAAAATGGCATACCATTGGTTTTGACCCACAGCCATGTGGGTATGGGTCAAACTGAAACCACCACAAAAAAACCGCAGGTTTGTGTCTTACCAGGCTTCCATTTAGCAGGGTGGAACTCCATTTGGCAGCTTTTGGTCGACCACCCTTGCACGCTGATAACAAATTGCGAGGCTTTCACACTGTCAAAAAGGGAGAAAAGCTTGAGCACAGAACCATTGTGAGCACGCAGCACCAACGCATGTCTTTGCATGTGAGAGATAGTTGCTTCAAACAGAACAGGGCCCCGAATTTTTTTTGTGCCGCACAGCGAAGGCCCCGAAAATGGCAAAGTAGTTTCCAAGAAAAAACTGCCGGTGTTTGCCCGTCTCCGGTCAGTGTTCGGTCAGTTTTCTCGGCCCACAGGCCCCATGGAACTGCAACCACGCCCTTCGGCCGTTTTTCCCCCCCCCCCCCCTTTTTTGTTCTTTGATTAGCAACAAAAATGGATATATTTAATACATACGTGTCTTTGTCAACATATGTTATTTGACATGTTTTTTTGTATTTTCATTGTAATCAATTACTTGACACCTCCTCCGAAGTCTCTGGGGTCTCGGGCGGCTAGGATGCCAAGTCCAAGCAGCCCGGACCCAGCGGCGAAGCCTCGGGGCCGGTTCAGCAGCTTCTCATGTGGCTTGGATTGGTTCCCATTTACCCTCTCCACAAGAAGTGCAAATCCAAATGCAAGCCAATCCAAATTTCAAATTGGGTACCTGATGGGTGATTGCAATTTGCCAACCACTTTCGCCTCTCAAAACGACACTTCCCGGCCATTTGTGCTGAGCGCCCGGCGTGCCGCCTCGCTGCGGCTCAGCTGCCCTGACCTGCACACCGGTGCTTGAAGCGTGGAAAAATACTGTGCTCCTGTTCGTGAGTTCTTTTGAAGCGAGAACCAAAGGCAAAAGGAAATTGTGGGGTGTTGTTGTTTTAAGGGAACTGAAAAAAAACACTTTTTGAGGTCCTCTGTAGGACATGCTCCTGTACACTGAGACCGGATTGTTACCCCCACCGTGGATCATTTCAGGGCACGCGCTTCACTCCCAAGTCCTGTACTGAGACGAGTCTCTGCGGGGAAACAAGGTGGCTTCCCTCCGCGAGCTCAGGATTTGAATTCCTTGGCTGCGGATTCGTATAGAAAACTTAGGGGCTGGGCGGAAGCGGCCGCAGGGCCGTTCTCTTCATCACCGCGTCGCGCTTCACCTGACAAGGCAACGCTCCTGTTTGCTTCTTGGCAACGAAGCTCCCTCTCTGAGTGTCACCTTGGACGGTGGACATGTTGCTTCGCGCGGCTCCGAGCTAAAAGTGGTTCGGGGAAATATACTTCTGGCAACAAGTTTGCATTTGTCCTCAAGCAAGGGGACAGGCACGGAACATCACACAACCTGCGCGTCTCAGCCTCGATCATTTGATTCATGGTTTGCGCCGACGAGGAGGTCAAGAATGTCCCAGCAAACCTGCACAATGGGTCAAATGGCTGCGGAGCATTCACCCGCCAAACCCCCCCCCCCCCCACCCGCGCGCGAAAGGAATCAATATCATTGGTGAGCTCCTCCTTTTGCGTCGATTGTTTCCTACAAGCATTCCTCCATCTGATTCAACCCCGAAAGCCACTGCGTGAAGCAACTTGGGAAAGTGACATCAAGACATCAAGTGGCGCGTAGGACTTGCCACGAACAACTGGACTCGCTCATTGCCAGTTGGCTTTACCCCGTACCCAAATCCAGTGAACATCCCAATCCAGCCACTAAAATAGACTATATAAAATGGGTGGTGAATTCACCTATCCCAAAATGGGATCCCATTTGTTTTGACCCACAGCAATGTGGGTATGGGTCAAACTGAAACCGCCACAAAAAACCGCAGGTTGGTGTCTTACCAGGCTTCCATTTAGCAGGGTGGAACTCCATTTGCCCAGTTCCTTCTTCCCCCAAAAAAGCGGCCGCTCGACTCGACGGATGCTCTCTCTGCCACGCTCCCGCCCCAGCTCTCGGCGCTCTCGGCGCTCTCGGCGCTCTCGGCACCCGGGATCCCGGCAGGGCCGCGGCCAGGCAGGGCTCCACCGCACCAGGCAGCGCCAGGAAGTACCCGGGCATGGCCTCGACTCGAGACTCGACGCGCTTCCGGCGGTTTCGGCTCGGTGTCCAGGAACAAAACGGGGCGACATGTGAGATGGAGCCCATAGGTTCAAAAAAGGGGGGCAAACACCGGCCGCACCCAGTTCGCTCTCTCACTCTCTCTCTCTCTCTCTCTCAGGGTTTGGGAGGGTGCTGAAAACAAAGGTGATCTTACAAGGGCAGAGACCCCTGCAACGTATTTGAGAAATTGAAGTGAAGACGGCTCCCCAAGGCCAAGTGGGTTGTCTGAACGTCGACTCCGTTTCAGTGTCTTGGTAGCTGAAAAATTGGTTCGGGTTATCCTTCTGCATCCATCCGTCTCTATCGTTATTAATAGGTGATTGATCCACATTTGTAGGATTTGACAGGCATGATAAAATGTTTTGAGACATGTCTTCCGGGGGGTAGGGCCCGGTAGGGCCGGAAGACATGCATCTGAATGAGTCAGAGGCCCTCGTCAGAGGACCCTCTTCCTTTGAAGGAGACCCAGCAGGTTACATGTTTGAGAGGCTGTCATTTTGCACTTTGATGACCTTCCCTGGCAAAATTTGACTCTTGACCCAAAACATCTATGTCTCCTGAAATAAGTTGGACGCCGATGACACCTATGATTGCTCTATTTGGGGAGTCCTGTTGGTTTCCTTTGCCGTTCCTTCGCGGTTCTATTTGGGCTTCCTTTGTAAAGGCAGTCAAAGGACTCGAATTCTCGAATTGAGCGCACAGGCCCGATGGCACAAAACGCAACCTTGTTTTGCAGGGATGGCGCAAGCGCGCCGGTCTGACTGTCTCGGAGCCCAACTCGCTGCTGGTCATGAGTTGTGAAGCTTCAGATCTGGCTTTCTCTTGTGGCTGTCTGCGTTTGTGAGCGTGTGTGTGTGTGTGTCTCAAAACAGTATCAACGCGAAACCGAGATGAAACCAACCATCTGGAGTTCCTAGTTTCGGCACATGTCCTTGGCGCATGCAAAAAAACGGCTTTACAAACGGCCCATGGGTTCTACCAACCCGGGAGTTCGATCTGGAACAGCCTGGAAAAGCGCCTTCGGCGCATGCTTCCCGGCTCACCCACGGCGTCTCTCGAACAAACCTTATACCCGGGAGAGGTCAGACCTTCGCAAAAAAAATGGAGTGCAGCCTGAAACACGACAAAGCTCAATCAGAAGTCAACCGAAGCCCCCGGTTCAGAATAGCATAGCTGTCCTAGTGTGGTTGCTTCAACGTGTCTATATACTTGTAGCAGTGAGGTGATTCTTACTGTGATCCTCGAAACCTCGCTGCTTTGCTGTCAGCTATTGCTCCCCTAACACGGACCCTTCACAAGAGCCCGTTTTCTGAACCTTCAGCTAAAGAAAACAGCAGACCCAGAAAACTCAGGAAACACAACGGTTAGTGAGTCCATGTTCTGCTGCCTTCTCATGTCGAAGTCTGGATGGGTAATGCATGAACAGCAATGCTTGTCGGGTAGAAGATGTGGCTATCAACTTTAATGGGGAACCCCTTGAAAAGTGATTGGTGGACATGAATCCCCACCAAAATAATGTCCACCAAAGGGTCCCTAATTAAAATTCATACCCATGTGTATATCATGTTGGGAATTACCTGACTTCCTATTGGCTTCTGCGAAGAAGAGGTCCAAGAACCAAGTCCTTCATCCAAGGAAGTGATCCTTGGCGTTCCCAGCGTGATGGTTGATGTACGTTGTGTCAAGATCAGGTGTTGGTTCTGCTCGTGGCCTTCAAGGGAAAACAACTTACCGCAAGGACGGGTAAGTGGCAGTCGATGCTATTTGGAAATGACGCCACAACTGTGGAAGAGAGCTAGTTCTGCACCACAGAAACCTTATGAAAATCGAGATACCAAAAAAACAACATGCGAGCAGCTTTGGACGGCACAACATCTGTCTTCCTCTCCTCTGTTTGTTCGGGTAGAGCCGCCTGTTCTCTCGACCCCTGAAAATCTCCGAGCATAGTGAAACGTGCCCAGAGGGGGCGCTCATCCTGAATCTTCGTCGCTTTTGCGGACATGAGGATGCTGAGCTTGCAATCGTATGTCTGTCTCGAGTTGATTCCTCAAACATTGCAAGTAGGGCACGACTCTTTCTCTGGCAGCAGCACTTGATTCTTGCTTGGAACGTATGTGTGTGTGTGTGTGCGTCTTGCCAACAGTGGCCTCAGCTCAACCTTTGTGGGGCGGGAAAGCAAAGGCCGCCTCATGTCTGAGAAGATTCAGGCCGAGAACAGCCTCTTGGCTGTTGGCATCTGGTCCAAATATACTGTCTGCGAGTCCACATAACCCCAAACCACTGGATCACGCACACTTTGACACTCCGCGCTCCTTGCGGTCGCTTGCGAACACCTTCGAAGACGTTCGGACGCGCCGCGCCGACCAGCGAGCGCAACCTACACTAGATTTTTCAATAACAGGAACCCTCCACTATTCACTAGGGAACAACTTGGCTGGAAAGGAAGGCTCGGACCAACAAGTTGTTACCAGGTGATTTGTGCGTGCCCGTGTGGTTTAGCGATGTCGGACCCCTGCACTTGGCTCGGGATGGGCCGAAAACGCGCTGTGCTGGGCAAATTCCCCCTTAGGGTGAACCTGCGGCTGGCTCCCGATTTCCACTGGGCTGTAAGACTTTCAAGAGTCTGGCAGCAGTGATTGTCTTCACCGCTACACCTCCATGATCGTCGCGTAGGTTCCTACCGATCCGCTCCAGCGCATTCCTACGGATCCGGAGGATTTCGAGCCGGAGGAGCGCTGAGATTCCGAGCTTCTCCGCGACCTCTCCGCTCGTATGGTCATAGGGTGGATGGACCCAGACCGCGACATGAGCAGCTTCATGTACCTCGGCCCAAGTCCCACTTTGCCAAGTTGCCCGTTTGAAAACATGAGACACTCACTTGAGGCCATGTACAGTCCGTGACCTTCCATTCCCAACTGGTTCGTGCCATGATGACCGACTTGATTCTGATACCTGTACCCCGTACTCATTGACACGTTGATCGTGCTGTGTAAAGGGCATGGCCGAGACACAGTGCCGAGCCTTTGCTTTCGGGTCATGGGAAGTGGAACTTGCTGGACCCCAACGAAGCGGGAACCCTCGAGACCTTTTGTACCCAAATTTGGGGCTGGGGTGTGTTGTCAGCCACTCAATCGGATGGATGCCTTAAAAACGGCCAATGCTTGTTCAAGCTCCCCGTTGGAAGCAGCAGTGCCCACATCGGAATGTGGCGCTTGTGACCCTCAAAGTTATTCCTGTATTTGAGTTCATACATACTGATTGCTCACATGCAGCTCAATGGGAACTCTGGAAAAAGGAGGCAACTTCGTTCCGGCGGGGCAGGCCGGACCCAAGGATTCACACATCGCCGAGCGTCTCTTGCACCACACCTCCGACCCAATTCAACATGAAGTTCTTGATGCGCTCGTCCACCTCTTCGAACCCAATGGTTGACCGAATCAGAGACTTCACCTTCTCCTCGTCTTGGGGGGAGAAAGCTGTCGCGTTGGCTGACTCAAAAGCGCAGAGCGACTGTGTCACCTGGAGAATTCCCTCCTCGCCTTCCCGAATCTGGGAAATCAAGGAATCATTCTGCTCACCGGGCAGGACAATTGTAACCGGCACATCACCCAACTTGATTGCAGTGAACTGCTCAAAAATCGTCCAAATCCTGGTCAGGTATACTGGGCTGTGCCAGTCATCCAGGATTGCCACCATCTGACCAATGCGCTTCAGTGTTCCCTCAAAAACATCTTCCAAGTTATCGCTTCCCGCACCGTCACATTCATAAAGAATTCGATATTGATTGTTCACAAAGAAGCACATGTACAGGAATACACTCTGCGGCTCTGCATGAGTCTCCTCCAGCCAGAACTCGAGTGCATCTGTCACAGTGGCCACTGGGTACTTCCATGTCCAGGACAAATAGTGAGTACACTGCCGCCTGTGATGCCTAGGCAGCGTATCCACCAGAGCGCAGCCGAGACGCCCATCACGTGGACATGGGATGTTCTTGCCAATGGGATCCTCTCCGAAGAAGAAGACGTCCTTTAGGGCGTAGAAGCTAGGGTTCGTCTCTTTACTGCGTACGCGCGCCAAATTCAGGAACGGATCAGAGAGCAGGTAGGCAACACTCACCCCTGCTTCCTGGCTTTGGCACTTCAATGTGCGGTATGTCAGCTCGTCCAAATCCTCCTCGGTCCAGCCCACGTGTAGCAGTGCCACTCGGGCCTCATGTTCCAGCTGCTGGTTCGCCTCCCAGCAGGCCTCCGAGAACATGCGGATCAGATCCTTCTCGTCCAGCAGCTCCCTCCTCCGCTTCCTCACTGACTCATGTAAGTAGAAAACAAACGGTTGAACTTGGGATTGGCAGAGCATTACAGGAAAGCGATCTAGATGTCCAACCTCTCGCAACTTTTTATACATATATATATATATACATATATTATACAAAAAAAGGGACTATGGAAGAGAAGCCTGACGCCAAAACCCCTTACCCCAGTCTTCCACCCGCAGTCCCTGCACAGTAAACCTCCCTGCATGAAACAACTGACTAGCCTTTGTCAGCTTCCATGTGGTGGTGTGGCTTCGCGGGTTGGAGCTAAGTCTGTTGCTATCTATCATACCGTTTCTTTCTGTGAGTTTGCGCTTTCTTGGTTATTTGGCTGTGGGTCGAAACCAATGGTACCATTTTGGGGTAGGTGCACCACCCATTTTAGTCTATTTTAGTGGGGATTTGGAGGGTACGGGCTTTTGACCCATGGCCATTTGCGTACGGTCTCTGTCTTATGTTGCTTTGATTGTCCTTTTTATATGTCTTTCTTCTTTGTGTAAAGTAGCTTTTCTCCTTTACGCGCTGTCAAAGACCCTTCCTGTCATTTTCAAGCCTTAAAGAAGCGCCAGCGGCCATCCTATTGTTCCAAGGTGTACAAGTCAAGGAATGAACATGAAGGATAGCGATTGCAAAGTGAAAGCAGATTCCG